GATTTCATAAAATCATATAGTCATTTAGGTTGCAAGGAACCTTGGGAAAGTCCATAGTTCAACCTGATGCATAAAGCAGAATTAACACCAAATTTAACAAGGTTGTTGAATGCTTTGACTAGTTCAGTACTGAAAATCTCCTTCAAGAGACACATCACATTTTCACTGGGAAATCACACCAGTGCTTAAATACACTCAGTGAAATAATATCATCCTTATATGCAGTCAGAAAATAATCTCTTCCCGTTTACAACCAGACACCTTCATCTTCTGGGTAATTTTCCTTGGTACAGGCAGGCTGCTGTCAGGTGCCCCAAAGCTGCCCCCGGTCTGATGCAGCTGCTTGTTCTCCTGTGACTGTAGGGATGGCCCTGGACATGGAGGAGGCTGCCCTGGGAGGCTTTGCCAGCTTCATTTGGCTCTTGACAATGCTTTCCATTGCACCCAGCTCAGCCTAAGACCTGGGGTGGATGCTGGATTTAATGACATTGGTTTGCAGGTTTTTTCTGTTTGGTTTCTGTCTGTTTGTTTTTTGGCATATTTTAAATCATAACTTCAATTGGGAAAAAACATTATGAGGAAGACACATCAGAGAAGTCAAAACATATTTAACTGATAAATGCAAACCAGAATGTACCATTAAAAATAATAGTCCTTTTTTCTGTTTAGTGGTATGAGTATATGATATTTCTTTTGATATTCTCATTTTTGCTAAGGAAACTAGAAAATAATTCATTTAGCACTGGCTGAGACATTTTTATTTGGCTGTTATCCTCTTTGGCTGGGTCTGTTTGCATGATAATTTCAAAGTGATTTGAGTTCTGAAGTGCTGAAAATGAACCTGTTTTATTTGTGCCTTTCACTGCTTTCTGCAAATCTGGAAATGTGTTTTTGATAGAGAGAAGATCAGCTCCAAATCATAAAACTAAATAACCCTTCAAACTTTAGGGAATTCAAGCTGCCAACCAGACTTCAATCCTGAGTTTGGTAAATGTCAACACCCTTCCTTGGGCAGTGAAGCAGAGTGAAGGAAGAAGTGTTAAATAGGATGGGGAGCTGCCTTAATTACTTGAATATTTTTAATTTTTTTTTTTTTCCAGGAGATACTTAATTCAGGAACACTTGGTTATTTCAAATCTTGTGACCCTACTTAGCTTTCTAAGCTGGTGCTTTGGTTAGATGGAGAGAAGCTAAAAGACAGCTGCTGATGAAGCAGCACGGATGTGATGTGACTACAAAAATGACAAAAAATTGTCCCATTCTCATTCATAATTTATAAGTATCTAGAATTCTACAAATATTCTTTGAGACAGTGACTTCATCTATAATGACAGTTCAAATTATGTTAGTGTATGGCTGCTCAATCTGATTTGGAATTATGGGTTTGTTTATCAACATTAATTGGATTAAATTACCTGCGGTGAAATGTAAGCCCTTTGAGAAAAAGCAATTCTTGTCCTGATGGCTTTAGCAGTGTTCAGACAGACTTTGTTTTAAAGTAGCATAAGGATGAGTGTGAACACGTTGTGGGTACGAAACATTTTCAGGGAGTGGTGAGAAGGGGCAGTGCTTGGTCTGGAAGGGGGTTTTTGCTGCCAGACATCCCAGGTGAAGAGCAGAGCCCCAGGCAGGGTGTGACATTGTGAAGCAGGGGCTGGGTCAGGCGCAGAGGGATTTGGGGACCCGTGGGGACAGTGGGATGGTGGCACCCTGTGAGTCCCATCCCCAAAAAAAGGCAGAGCAAGGCAGGGCACCCAGTGAAAAGGAGCAGCATCAGGACAGTGCAGGCACAGCCTTTCAGGAAACTGAGTGCCCACAAATTCATTGCCTGGAAAAAGGGACATTGATGGGACAGGGTGACTCCATGGACCAGCACTTGCAATCCTCCCTATTTGGGAGTACTGTATACTGTAAAGCCTGTGCAGTTTATGTGGAAACAGTAACTTGATGTTTCTAACTTGGATGTGCTCTTACATGCAAACCATTTCTTCTAAAATATCCTCGCCCTGTTTTGCTTTTTTGATGCAAGTAAATTCTTACAGTCTGTATTTCATGCTCATCTTTACACTGTGTTCAATCAATGAACAGAAATAATCCCCAAACTACAGCATTTTGGTCCTTCTTGGTTGCTAGCTGAGAAAGCTGAAGGCATGAACTGCATTACTGGTACAAAGATTGGAAATGTGAGAAGGAAATATCCCTTTGGATAAATTAGCATTGCCGTAGCTGTGGTTGTAAAACTGGTTGAGGTGACCTGAGTAATGAATTTTTACTCAGCCTCTAACAGAATGTAACCTTTCAGCAAACAATTCAGATATTGCTAAGCAGAGATGCTGAACCCATCCAGCAATACACTCTGTGGGTAGAGCTTCACTTCATTGCCTGCTTGTCGTATGGTTCATATTGACAAAGGGTAGGGCACAGCCTGGATAAACCACTGGAGTCACGCTGCAGAGCCATTCTAGCAGCCTCTTCTCTTGAGCTGTGGCTGAATGTGCCAGTGTGCACCTGCCCAGCTCCAATGCCTTCTGACCACCCTTGGCAGCCACTGCTGGCTACTGCAATGTTACGTGCCTAGATACGCTTTTAATCCAAGAGCATGATTGCTGTAATTTAACTAAGTATTTTTCTTACTCCAGGCCATTCTTTTTCTTTTTCCACTGTAAAACTCTGCAGCTTTGTGCAGGAAATGTATCTTTTCAGGGCAGTTACCAGCATTTCCTGTCATACATGTTCATGTGTTACTGACAGGAATTTCATTACCTCTATGTCAATTCACACTAATTTATTCCATTGTGTAGATGTGCATATTTCATAATGCAACACCAAGGCTCAGTTCATTCTGACAACCTGATGCTGTGAGAAGATCTTGAGGCTTCAATAAAGTGCATGAAGTCTTGTGCACTTATTGGTCAGAGAAGGAAACTTCCAAGGGCCGCTGTAGCATAAAATGACTGGCAGAAGTGAAGGCAGGCTGCAGAACGGAGGTTATGAAATAATCATTAAATAAGATCAATAGCTACTTGCCGTGCAAATTCAATGGGTAACACTCATTGATGTAATTTCCTGCAATTTTCATATTTAATACTGCAATTAAACCACATAACCAAAAGTCTTTACTCCTAAAAAAAATGCAGTTCATTCTTTCATCATACTGTGTATCACATGCTTTCTTTTCTGTCTATAATTTTCCCCTTCTCATCTCTGAAGAGCTCCCTAAAAAAATTATTCACCCTGGCTCCTAGCAATTCCTGTCTGAAGTAGTGAACAGAAGCTGTTAGATGAGTACTGTGAATTGTGCAAGAAATGGCTCTGTAAGTGCAGAGGAAACAACAGGAGACAAATTTACCTTAAAAACACAACATAATTTGGAAACAAATGTCCATTAACCTATAGTTAGGTGAAACAATATTTAAAGCGTTTGTCTTACTAAAGCGTGTTGCTAAAGAGGAGCTGCTAAGAGCTTGGTAGTATCTGAGCACCTTCATGTATCACAGTTCCTTAATTAGAAATAGCTTGATTATTGCAGGGCACACTTACAAGAGCTGTGGCTTTGGAGCATTAATGTATTTGCTTGGTTTATGTTGGAACAACAGTTTCCCAGGAGACTGTGTGCTGCCATTTGTGTGGAAGAAAAGAGAGAGAGGAGCCCAGAGCCCAGCACACAGTGATGGACTCCTGTTAGAAGTGGAGCTGGTTGTTGTACAGCCATTCTAAGATATTGTTTTCTGTTATTTGTAACTTTGTGAACTAGAATAATTTATGCTGAGATTTTTTTTCAAATCCATATTTGGGAAAAAAATCTATCCTGTATTTTGGAGTAGTGTGGACATAAACAATGAGGCGCAGGAATTTCCAGATTAAGTGACACTGGGGCCAAAACTCTTGGATTTACACCATCAACAAATTCTTCTTACTCACAATTAGCAGTAATCTGGATCTTGTCCTCACCCCTCAAGGGTGAACCCCTTTTTGAAAACTGTGCACCCCTACATGTGCTATGACTTGCAGAGTGCACACTGGGGTGTTTGATTATCTAGCAGTGATAATATAAAGCAGCTGGGGTGTCATTTTTCCTCATCACAGAGGGGAAGTGGTATGAAAGGGAAGCGTTTTTCCTGACAGTTGATCTTTGATGAAATCAAAAATATTTGTATGTAATGACATTAATGACACCAGAAAATAGCCTGGTTCAGGCTTACAGTTTGTTCAAATCATGCATTTTTGATGAATAGTTTTGTTCCTAATTTGTCATAAACTGGGGGACCCTGAGACTAGTCATGCACATTTGCTCTTTAGGTTTTTTGAAACTAACAACTCTTCCTCTCTGGTCTCTCTGTCATCTTTTTGTCTTGATGTTGCTTCTTTTTCCAGCTTAAATTCTATCACACCAAGGCAGAGCTGAGAAGATGGGATTAGGCCCATTTATTGAAGTCTGTTTCCTTGTACTGAACATGAGACGGGAAATAACTGTAATTTGATTCATTTTCATAAAGTCTATTTCACTTGTTGGCTGAAACCAGCCAGCAGTAGGAACTTCATAACTTTCCTCAAACCTGAACTTCCAAATATCCTGTGATAGGTATTTACCCTTTTCATCCATCCCCTCATGGTGTTCGGAGGCCAAAAGAACATATTCTCCACACATTCTCCATGTAAGAAATTATCCAGTGTTGTCACAGCTTTGGTGCCAGCAGTCTCCTCTCTGTCAGGCTCTCTTTGCCTCAGGACAGCTTTGCAATGGTGTTCAACACAAACTTGACCAAGGACCAAGGAGAAAAGAGAAGCAACTACTGTTCAGAGCCTTTATTCAAGGAAGAGAATATCTCTGTTGTAAATACACCATAATATGACTTGAACTACAAGGTTTGTGAAAAAGAGGAGTAAATATGGGCATTAAACTTGCCCTTATTTTGGTTTTCTGTTTCTCCCATTAAAAAAAAAACAAAAAAACTCATGCAAGTGGAATACAACCTTAACCATGACCTCTGTATTTTCAGGGATTAAGCATCTGAAGAGTCAGAGTGACTCCGTGTTTCCAGAAGAAGAGGAGGGAGTTGGCGAGAGGGAAGAGGAGTGGGGCCATTAACCAGCACAGGGCGGCAGAGCCCGGTCCCGGAGAGTGACGGAGCTGCCCCTTGGCCCCGCCGTGCCCTGCCCGCTCCTGTGTCCAGGGGGCTCTGCAGGCATTGCACACGTGTCTGGTGACCCTTCTTCCTGGAGACAAAACAGTTATTTTAAAGTCATTTTTTTCCTTTTCTTTTCTATGACTTAGAAATGTTATTCGCAAATGTGTTAGCTCCCTGACGTCAGTACTGCCAGAGCTTAACTACTGCGTGTGAGCTGTATCTAAGGCTTCTTGTAAATAAAGGTGATTTAAAAGGTACAAAATAAATAATACATTAATTTAGACAAGATTGTCTATTGTACAGAGGGTTTGTCTTGCTACAGAGAAATGTTCATATAAAATGATCCTTTTGGTGAAGGGCAGTTTTTACCATTGTTGGAAAAGTTACTTGCAGTGATGTGGACGGAAGAAAGGTAACGAAGTAAGCAGAGGTGACTGTCTAGAGAATGATGCAAAGACACTCTTCCCTGTGTTCCCTGGGTATGTGACACTTAAATACTTGTCTTGATTTTGGTCTGACGCTGCCTTGTCACAGCAGCCAAAAGGACTTCTCTCTACACAAGATCTCTGTTATCTGGAGGCCTTCAGTGTGGGAGTGAGGAGCACAGGCATGTGCAAGGCCTGGGAGCAAGGTCCCAGCCCCAGCTGAGCCATGGGAAGTGCCACATCCCCCCTTGTCACCTGCAGCAAGGACAGGTCACAGCCCTCCTGCCCTGCACTCGGCTCAGCCTGAGCCAGTGACTGACAGCACAGCAAGCTGCACAAATTCACTTGTGTCTGAGTCCCGGGGTTTTGGCTGAAGTCAGCATGGTTCATTTTCATTTTTTAGACCATGCAAACTCTATGGCATGAAATGGAATAAGGTAGAGAAGGAAAACAATGTTTCTTCAGAGTGACACTTAACAGATTATTTCAATTTTTCAATCAATGGTAGATTTTTAAATGAATTCACTGTCATTTTATATTAACTGTTTGCCTTTGATATTTTATCCTCAGTTTAACTTTCCACTGCTGCAAGGCTCTTTTAAAGGGTTGTGCTAAAAAAAAAATTAAAAAAATAAAAAGAAAGAAGGGATGAAATATAGGAAAACACAGAGCCTTTTGTCTATGCCTTGCATGGTGATTTCAGTCTCAATCTGAGGTCTTCCACGAAGACCTGCTAAGAACAGGATCTGTCAACTAGTGTTTCTTTATATTTGAGAGCCATTTTTTTCCCTCCATCTGTATCTCTGTATCTGTCCTCTTTGGTTCCTGTTTCTGTAGAAACACTGCAGACAGGATCCATGACTCCAGCTCAGCAAGGGTGTGCAAGAAGGACTAAAGAAGGACTCTGCAATTATACAGAAGCCACTACAGGACCTACAGGACTGAGAGCTTTTTATGCCCCAAACAAGAAAAATAAGTAAATGACCCTTCAAAAACCGTTTGAATGGCCCCAAGTCAGGACTGGAATGGCAGCAAGAAGAGCTGGGCTCAGGTCCCAGCTTTGCCATGGCTTTGCTTTCACACAGCACCAGGCTCTTCACAAAATTGCTTGTTGCCACAGTACTCCTAAGGTGTGAATCAGACGTTGGTGTTTAACCTCACACCATCTCTCTGTGTTGCTAGCTAATAAAGCACTTTGGATATTAATGGCTTTTTGCTGGTTATTAGTACCCACAGGCTGCAGATGAGAAATGTCTAGAACTTGTGAGCAAATGGAAGGACGGACATGATTTACAACGCTCAACATCCGGACAAGGTATTGAACACTGTGGAATCTCAGCAACACACAAAGCACCTGATGGGAGTTTGGAGAATTCATCACTGAACTTGCTGTTTCAGGTTGACTGTTGGACCCAAGTATAATTACACTTTATAAATAATAGGGAAAAAAATCCCACCCAGATTTAGTTTGGACTGTATTTCACTTACAGAATGGTATATGTTGTTTATTCTCCAGGTGCAAAATCACATAATACTTAAGTAGATATTAAGAGTCAAGATTTAAAACTCCTTTCTAAAGTATTCTAAAGTATGCTCTCTAAAGCATACTTTCCACAGAAGTCAGAAGAATTCTGCTTGAGAAAGACCACAGGTTTTGGCTGAAACATATTTTCCTTTGGGGAAATGCAACTTGTAGTGTACAGGAGAATTTACATTATCCTGCCATCAATTTAATTATTGGATTTCTTGCCTCTTTTTTTTAAATTTTTTTTTAATACAGCTATAACTTCTGTTGAAGTCTTCAAGGATTCTCTTCTTCTCACAGTATCATTATTTCTCCCCAGTAATGTAAACTGAAAAACCACCATTAGTTCTTGCACAGTTGGTGTTATTTGACTAAAAGTGTCACATCCAACACTGACTCCGAGGCAGGGCTGCAGGAGAGGTTCTATTGCCTGTGCATGGGTGAGGGCCTCCTGGGGTCCAGGCAGTCAGTAAGAAAGGGACTTCCAGTTCATCTGCACTTCCTGTAACATCAAGGGCCAGGCTGGTGGTGGTTTTCAGTCTTTAAAAAAAAAAAGCATTTCTTTTGCTTCAGGAGGTGAAGCATTGGGTGTCTCTCTCCTGAGCTGGCCTGGGAAGGCTGTGATGGTTGTGGGGGGACCCAAGCAGGGCTCCTGCAGGCTGCAGGTCTGCCTTTGTACAGCTGGCACTGTACAACAAAATGTCCTGCTCAGTGCAGGGCTCCCCTCCTCATTTCTTTTCTCTTGAGACAAGTTTTTTTTCATGAGGGACCTTGTTCCTGCAGAAAATAAGGCATTGTCTGTCTGCTAACCCTGGGGGGACAATATAAGAGCATATTTAAAACATGCTGTCCCTCAAACTCCCCTTTCTTCCTCTCCTATTGCATCCGTGTTAGTGCCCAGGCCCACAGATGTTCTTTTTTCATTCTTTTTATTATTTTTTCTATAGCAGTTCAGCACAAGAGCGAGCTCCAGAAAGAGCCTCAGTTGTTCTGTTGATTCCTGACATGTGCAATTACATTTAACCTTTTCATGCACGGCATTATGCTTGGCAACTGAGTGGATGCTAAATGCCGTCTGCTTTGCTGTATTCTCTCCTTTATCCTCCAGTGAGGAAAGCAGCATTCTGAGCAAATCTCAAGCAAGATATTTGTGCACCCCCTGCTAAACCTCAGGCTGCTTGATAAGATGCTACTAATCTCCAGTTTCATCAAAGTGGGCTGATGGAGTTTATGCAAGTTCAGTGTCTGTATTCTGCTATATATTTTCTGTGTTTTTATTAAATAATCCTGGGGGTTTAGGGCAGAAAAATAGTTTGGTATTTCTGCTAGGCCATACACAATTTTGTAATGATTCATTTGCCTAGCATATACTGACCCTTAGTGGTACACTGAGATTTTAATTGCATTGCCAAGTTTCTAAATTTTGCTTTTCTCTTTGGCCCAACTGTTCAGAAAATGGCAGGAATATTTGCTGTGCATCAGGATAGTCTATCTATGTAAATAGCCCACAATGTCTTCAACAGACATTAACAGGCATGTGAAAATAATGATGACAGGTGTTATTAGCTCTTCTGAAGGGAGGGCTGTGGGAAGCAGGAGTGTCGAAAGGTTATTCCAAAATGCAAAACAAAAATGCTGGCATTGAGAAGCAATACTCTCCACATAATGAGAAACAAATAAGAACTCAGTATCTGGCACTAACGAACACCTCAAGCTAACTGTGGAATGAGTATTAATTAGGTTTCCAAAATAGCATCTTTCTGAAAAGCAGCTGAGGTGTAATATTGCTCCTTATTAATCAAAGCAATGGGACAATGTGAACTCTGCAAAAAATAAATGGTTTGCAGATGGCTGTGTGCATCTTTAATAATGACAGAAGAACACAAGTTACAGCTTTAAATGCCAGGGACCCTTTCTGCATCTTCTCCTTTTCAGAGAGCGATATTTGCAGTTTTCAAGGCAGTGAGGAAAGTGTGTTGGTTTCTTATTACATTTTCCCTGCAGCATAAATTCTGTTGATGTGCTTCCCTAATCATTCTAATTATACTGCCATATGTTGCTCTCATCTTTCTTTTTCTCTCCTAATGGGACATAGATTCTCTCTTTTGAATATGTCATTTGTTTATTACATTTATCAAGGGTTTTAACATTATATGGGACTTTTAATTGCTTTTTTAAACACTCAGCAGATTGAATATTAAAAACAGACATGAAGGTCAACTATAAATAATATTTAAATTGCTCATGACATTTTTATTCTCTAATTTACTGGAAATATCAACTCTGTAGTTGGAGCGACTCATGCTCCTATATCTACTATTTACTTGAAACCACACAAATGTCCTCCAGAGCCACTCTGGCTGCAGTCACAGCTCTGCCCTGCCCCAAACCACCTTGTGCCTAGCAGAATAGGAGTCTTCCCCAGGTGGGAAGGCTAAAATAAAGAAGCATCATGCTTTATGTTAAAATGTTTGACCCAAATATGTTGTCATTAATTCCAGTTGTGAACTACTGCTGAACCCCAAACAATAAATGTGAAGTTTCATTTCTGACAAGTAAGAAAAATACGGTTCTCTCCCAAAGCTGAGCAGTCTCAAAGATAAGGAAGCACAATTTCAATAAAAGAATTCAAGATGGTTTAACTTTCAAAGTTGAACATGTGCTTTGTACAGAGACATTAGACCCTCAGAGTACGCTGCACTGCAGAAACCAAAATCTGTAAGCCAGTTGAACACAGAGAAAGCAAGAGACAACCAATTACTATCCAATTAACAAATTAATTTCTTGTAAAATGACATAATCTCTCTTGGCTTTCATGGAAATGCATCATAGGTAAATTTGACCCTTTGGCTCATTGAATTTTGATTGAGATAATCATATCAGGCTTTATACAAATAATTAGCCAATACTTTCATGTAACTTTATGTTTATTCATGGTATTAAGATACAAGTCCCACAGTCTTTCTTGCAGGTTCTGGAGAGTTGCTTGTAGGTGCCCCCAGCATTAGGTGCCATGTGGTGATGAGACAGCTTTAAAACTACAGTGCAAATAAAAGTGAAGAAATTTCTATTTTGCTTAACTGTTCCATCTTAAAGCCAAGGTTGTACCTACCATTTTGATTTTTACCCCTTATTTAGCTACAACTTTGTTACTTCTGGTTTGTAATAATGACCTATACAGGATGTTGCAAATGCATAAAACTCAACAGCTTTAAAGTTCATATACCATGTAATCTGTCAGAAAAGCTGAGTTTTTAAAGATATTATCTGTCCAAGTTCAGCTAATTAAGTTCCCCAAAGATTCTCCACTCAAAGGCCATAAGCAAAGGGCTTGCCTAGGCCCAAAGAAAGTATTTTGCAGCGAAGTTCAGCCCAAAACAGTTTTCTAAGAGATTTTTTCTCATTTTTTATAAGAGATTCTTTTCTATTTATAACCCCATGGTTATGACTTTCTTCTTTGTTCCCAGGGGAAAACTTAGATATTCACAGTTTGATAAAACTTCTGAATGTTTGCCCTGGGACATGGAAAAAGAGCCTCTGGAGACCCATTAAATAATTAAATGACCAGGAAAGTAAAATTATTCCAGAGCAGTAGCCTAAATGTTTGCATAGTGTTTGACAGAGGACAATTTCTTTTACTCATAGCAGTAAATTCATTTCCACTAATTTTTCCATACTGTTTTTCAAGGATGTGATTTATTTAAAAAATGCCTTAGAAGGGATGTGCTCCCCCTTTCAGACAAACCTTTTCCTGCTAAACTACTGTACACAGAAATCTCTAGTCTGCTGCTGGAGAATGTTAGTCATACTTACATTTTCTTCTTTCTCATACAATAACTGTATAATCTGTTAAAAATACACATTTTAGACACTTACCACTAGTGATCTTGATTTGTTAATTTGAAATTATTTTCATCACAGCAGTGGCTTGTTTGACTTCTGGCATCTCTACAAGAAGAAGGTCCTTTGTGCATGTAGCTCAGATAGAACCTGGAAAAGAGGAACTGCAAAGAATGCGATATAAAGTAGTTGTCTTGGTTTATTTTCATCATGTACCTAGTTAGGATTTGATACATGTTTGAGCCTGTGAGATTATTTCCATTCATTTTCAATCCAAGTAGAAAGGGGCCCTGTTTAATTCCATTTACACTGAACTTGGATTATAAAATTTACACCATGCCATGGAGGTATCTCTCAAAGTCAAACCCTTCCTGATGAATTGTTGCTAACAAGTACAATCCCAGCAGCTCCTTCAATTTCAACCACAGTAAGACATTTTTGTGTAAACTATATGTTATTGGTCATGTTTTTCTTCATGCGAGGGCTATTTTGGCCATAAAGGCTAAGAAGGCAGGACTCACTTAAAGAGATTGTTTTCAAATGTGTTATGAGGATGTGAGTGAGTTTGTGTGGAAAACTGTGGCAGTAATGGAAAAACTGGAGCGTCCCAAAAGGGTGAAAGGGTTGGAAAAGACCATATATGCACTGCCACTTCTCAAATACAATCGTACACAAATGAGCAAAAATGATCCAGGAAATCAAATTTGTAACTAACACTCAGGAGCTTCACAATCCTTGCCCTCAAATCAGATTTATTTGGGAATATCATCATAGGAAATATGGACAAATACAGCAGAATAAAAACACACAGTTGTAGATTGCCCCCTTGAAAATTAAATAAAAAAAATACTGGCTAGATCATAACCCATAACAATATTACATAATATATCTGTCATATATCTCAAGATAAAAGTACAAAATAAAACTCTTGAGGGCTCATTTATAGCTACAGCTCCTCAGTGTGCTCAACGCAGGGTACATGCCCAGAATGCTGTGGGAGAGATGCGGATGCAAACACCATTTCTTGGGGCCCCATGCAGTGTTTTGGTAGCACAGCCTCACAGGTTTCAGAGATAAAACTGCTGTTCAGGGAGAGGCTCTCTCGAGAAACCTTTCTGCCATATGAACTCAAATTTCACCCAGCCCAAAGCCTTAACCAACATTTGTTGGCTCTATTGGTCTTCTCCATCAAAGAAAATTCCTCCTCATCCAAACAACACACCAAGCTTTGGGTCATGTCCAGGCAAAATCTTGCTAAGACTAAAGGAAGGAAGAAAGAAAATCAGCTGGCATAAACAAAAAACTAAGGACTCTTCTTGTATTTCAGTAACATCTACCACAGTGATAAAATCTGAATACAAATGAGCAAATAGGATTATTTATAGAAAAAAAAGCACTCTTCTATCCTAATGAATGAGATCTGCAGGCAATGAGTGCCTCCTGTGAGACCAGGAGCTCCTTCTAGCTTCTGCAGTGGGAGATCTTGGTGCTTGCTGTGACAACTGAGAGGACACTGAGAGCCCCACAGGGAGCTTCAAGCTCTCTGCAGAATCTGTTCTATTTTCTGCGTGTATTTCCAGGTGAAAATATTTGTGGAGTAATAAGTCTCAATGGGATAGAGACAGAAAAAAAGCCAACTTTAAGTTAAACTACGGTAAAAGTGTGAAATTGAAAACGCAATATAAAGATTAAATTCTGATTGCTTCAGACTTTCAGTCTTAGTGAATCATAAATTACCATGTTGAAAAACAGTCAGTAGCAAATATCTAACTGGCCTAGTTTTTAAAGTTTTAAATTTTGCTGTTTTCATAATTGGTGGGAACTATAGAATATCTAAAAACTATAGATTACCCTAAAATAAGTTTCCAACTTCTCAGATCTTAATCAAAAAGGTTTTCCACTGCCACAGCATATGGCAACTTACAATTAAAAAAAGTCTGATATGACCATTAAGTTTCTTCTCTTGTCATAAGGACAATAAGAAGCCATAAGATGGTTTACATTTTATTACAAAGGAAAAGAAAGAGTCCAACATTCCCAAAAAGGATGCAAAGGTGCACAGAGCGGTCCAGGCTACTAATAATTTGCTCAAACACCAGCAGAGAATATATAAATTCTTAACTCTTAGCAAAAAATATTGATTGCGTTATAACACCTATGATACAATTTCATCTGTTAACATTTCATTCGTTAACGGCACTGTACAGAAATTCGTCCATGCTAAATACAAGCCTTGGATCAGATACACAAAACAATTTAAATGTATTTTTTACATCCTATATGCACAAACATTTCTTAAGTTAAAACTATGCATACTACTTAATGCATAGCACATATATGGCTTACATATTCAATGACAGGAATTCCATCTTTTGGCATGCCCTTGTCCCAGGGCTCAGAGCTTACACCGTTCCCAGCTCAATTTTGACTGCTTTGCCGTCTGAAAAGAGACAGTCAACAGGTATGGACATGTAAGAGCCCCTCAGCAAAGGTGATTGTTTTATGATTCCTTCCTCAATTGGACAAAGCGTGCCCTTGTTGAGGTGGAGCCTGATGCCTGCTGAGCTCCGGTTGGATCCCTGAAGCAGCAGAGGGACAGCACAGAGGTCTCAATCACCCTTGGCAGGGAGGAGAGCGCCACTGCCCCCACGAGTCCCCTTCAGAGTGGACCATGGCAGATTAGAAAGATTGTTTTGTTCAGTGAGGTAATAACCACGGGGTCCAAAAAGGAGAACAGGGAGTGCAGTGACCTGAGCCACCTGAGCGCCTACAACCCGAATGGGAGCCTAGAAGTTTCCTGGCAGGCTCCAGCAGAGGGAAATGAAGTTGTGTAAGACACCCAGGGGAAACAGAAGGGGTCATGTGCAGCTCGAGGGAAGTAGAGATGAAAATGGAGTTTCTTTACGGGCACAGTTTGGGCTGGAGGGCTCATTTTGAGGCTTCTTGCAGAGGTTACTGCCTGCGTGATGCCATTTTTGCTGCCCCTCAAGAAGAAACAAACTCTAGCAAAGATGTTGCAGGATGCATATTGTCACCTTTGCATTTGAGATAAACCATGACATAAGGCCTTGGTGTCACCTCGCAATTCTGTCTGAGAGGCAACACAACATTTTGCTGAACTGAAGCAATTTTCATGTATTTCTGTTGCTGTCCCTTCCACAAAAGAATAAGTACCAGCTTCACTGTAGGGCTGACACCAGTACTGATGTCTTTCAAAATATTACAGGATTCGGGATGTTTTAATCTTTAACACCAGATGCTATTCTATTAATTTTAAAGAGATATTTCAAATACTTCCAAATTTTCTCCACACCAGTTCTGTCCATACGACAGCCACTGCACTGGGGAAGAATCCTCATTCATGCAGGCTGGTCAGCGTAACTTTACAACTTCCCTGTACAATCTACAAACATTTATTTCCAGATTTTTTAAGGAAGCTAACAAGTAGGACTTTTATGGTGCATGCAGCATGATTGCATGAACAAGTATCCAGAAACACATTTCATTTTGATTTTCCATTTTCATTGGACACCAGCAGCAGTGACGCATAACAGCAATCCCAGGCAGATGACAGACATCGTGTTTTCACATGTCTTGTGATTAACTGGAAATGTCTGGTACCAGTGATGCAACAAAGCAAGGTCCAACTTTGGCTGAAAAAATTATTTTGGCTAGTTTAAGAAAGCAGAATAGAAGAGGAAATAGCAACACATATACAACTAAAATCTTGCAAGTTTTTAAGTGCCTTGAGTTACCAGCTCAGGGTTTTACATTTTTGAACATTTTGTTCAATCAATCTCCACAGAAATAGGATGATCCAAGAACAAGTTGACAGATAACAGCCTCTGAGATCCTGAGGTAGGAACAGCTAGAGTTCTTTTCTCCTGCAACAGAGGTCAAATGAAAATTCATAAACAAGAGATTTCTGATACTACTGCTTCCAATATTCCAGTTGTGGATGATTTATCACATGATCATTTAGTCTGACACTAAGGATTTAGAGGTTTAAAACTATTGGGTTTCCCTTCTTTATATTTCATTTTTTTAAGGTGACATTGAAAGTGGGGTATTCTGTATACCCATTTCAAAATTTTCTAATATTAGCACAGCTTGGATGGAACAAAGTTAAGAATAGCACTAAGTGAGCCTTTATGGTATAAAACACTCCCCATTAAAGGAAAGAAATTACCAAATTACCTGTCCTGCCTGAAATGTCAGAAGCTTTTAGGAAATAGCAAATCTAGTTCTGTACCAGTGCTTCTGTCTGCTCCGTGGCTTTTACGATATCTTCTGACTTCTTACAGTGTTTAGGCTCACCTGGAAGATAAAAAATGTGATTGGGGACCTGAATGAGGAAGTTAACCAAGAGAATCTACACAGCCACAGACAGACAGAATCTATCTCCTCAAGATATTTTAAGGTTATAATGAGGTTTCAGTCACTGCTTTTTTAATTGCTTTCTCACCAGAATAAGCATCAGCTTGAATTAAATAATCATTATGGTTTATCCACAAGGCAAAAGATAGAATGAAGCAATAGATCACATCATGAAACAAAACTATGAGACTTTTATGAGTGTTAATAAAATGGGTTTGGTTCATTTTTTTCTTCCAGCTTATTGAAAGTCAAAATTCACCCTTTGTGAAGCGCTGTTTAAATCCTCTTTACCGCAGGCTTTCAAATCAGTCTAAGTTTCTCCCAGATAATGAAAGATGCCAGTGTCAGGTTCTAAGAACTCAAGTCAATCAGACGGAGCAATGACACAGAGTAACACACAAGCAGCTTTCAAAGTGATACAACATGAATCTCAAATAGACAATCATAGAATTAAACTGTTGCCTAAACTATTCCTTCAGTGGCACTGAATGAGTAGAGCTGAGGAATTTATACACTGAGATGGTAGGCAGGGTACATTGTAGCAAACTGACAAGTGTTATTTACTAACTATATAGAGAAACTTTCCCGGTTTTGGCATTTTCCTTGTGGGATCCCTCCAGTAAGAACGCTGAATGGAAAATGTCAAAAATGAATAGCACAGAAGTCTCAAAACAGGAAAAGATAAGCTGGGAGAAGCTTAAAAGTTATAAAAATAGAGAGGGGGATATTTTTGAAAGACAGAAAACAAAGGTAGAAGCAGCTGAAAGGGAAAGTAGATGCTGCATGATCTGAAAGGAAAATTGAAAGATGATGGTGAGTTAAAGAGGCTGCCACTTTAGAAAAGAGAATAGGAAGAGGGAAATAAAAACTCAAGAGAAAAAGCATGAAGAAAATGAATACTTATGAATCTTCCATGGCTTCAATGTAACTGAATAAGAATTGGTACTGATTTCACCCTTGTTTAACTACCTTGAATGGTGGCAGAGTGTGCGCTGCCCACTCTCTAATGTAGCCACAAGCAGATGGGTCATATTCCCCCAAGAAGCATCCTACAGCACCCCTTATTTTACATAAATTTAATGTAGGTGGAATACAGACAACCAATACTTCAAAGGCTTTTAAAGTCTCAAAATTGGAATAACATTAATTAGAACAAGGATATCTACAGATTTTTCAGCCTGTGGCTCTTTTTGGAAGGATTTAGCAGAACTTTATTAATGTTACTATCCATAAAAACAAAAAAGGGGGTTGGAAGAAGGATGAAAGTAAAAGCTATTTATCTAAATATTTAAATTTTACACTAGACAAAAGAGTTTGTGGAAGCCTTAAAACAATTCACAGAATCACAGAATATGCTGAGTTGAAAGGGATCCACGAGGATCATCTTGTCCAGCTCCTGGCCTTGCTCAGCGCCATCACCAAGGATTACACCATGTGCCTGAAAGCCTTATGCAAATGCTTCTTGAACTCCGTCAGGCTTGGTGCTGCGACCACTTCCCTGGGCAGCCTGTTCAGGTGTTCAAACACCCTCTGGGTGTAGAATCTTTTTCTAATATCTGACCTAAACCTCCACAACACAATTTCAGGCTGCTCCCTTGAGTCCTGTCACTGTCACCACAGAGAAGAGATCAGTGCTGCCCCTCTTCCCCTCATGATAAAGTTGTAACTGCAGTGAGGTCTCCCCTCAGTGTCCTCTTCCCCAGGCTGAACAGACCAAGTGACCTCAGCTGCTCCTCATACAGCTTCTGTTCCAGACCCTTCCCATCCTGTGGCCTCCTCTGGATGGTCTCTAATAGATTAATATCTTTCTTATATTGTGGTATAAATGTCAAAAAACTAAACATTAACTTCTAAGACATACACAGCTTTTTGTTTGTGCATCAGGTTTTTTACGTGATAAAAATGTGGTTGCTAATGGTAGCTATCTTATAAACCCCATTTTTTTTTATAAACACAATATTTGTTTTTTAATCTAACATTCCCTCCATCCTCATCTCATGCACGAACACAGATGTCTTCCCTTAGTCCCAGGATCCTGGTTTACCCAAGGAGGGAAGCAGGCAGCACAGCATCCCACTCTGCTCGGATGCAGAGGGTTCCACGCTCGCTGAGCTCCGCAGGGCCACCGCAGCCCTGAGGGGTCACCAAGCATTTGCATGGCATGGATGATCTCCTGATGCCACCTGCAGCACCACAAATCAAGCTGGCATGTTGTTGGTGTGCATTGGCCCACTGCTGTTTAACCTGGTTGCTCTCCAGAGGCTCTCACTTACTGACTGCTGGTGATGTTGAAAGTGCTGCACACTCGATGGGACTGGGCAGTCCTCTCCTGTCATATAGAGGGAAGCTACTGGCAATCTGTTTTATTGCAGATTTATTATCTCCCTTGCATTTTGATATTAAGGATTAATGTGGGTATCATTATAAGTGAGAAGTTAAGTTTGCAAATTAGCATTTATAAATCATTGAAATGTGGAGTCGTTTAATTAAACATAAGCAGTTTTTAAAATTAATGTTCTAATTAATAAATCACTCAGGAGAAAAGGAAAATCATCACTTAAAAAAAAAAATCACCTTATAATAGTTTCATTTAATCTTGTACCATTCAATTAAATGAAAGTGAGATGATGGAAAGGAAAAAAGGCATTGTGGAGAAAAACAACATTCAGTCTCAACTGCAGTGGCTGTAACTTTCTGCACCAACCTGGACCCAGGGCAGAGCTACTCCTGTCACTAAAATGTGATGGTCTACAAGAACTACACCTAGAAAGAGATGTGATAAAAGGAGCAGAAAACAATCCCTTTATAATTTTTCTAAAAGGGGAACTCCTTCATCATAGTACATCCAAACATTCACTGACAGCTCCCAAGAACGCACACACATGCTCTTCCTGTGTTCCACAACAGTTATAACTGAATTAAGGAAAACTTATCTGGATTTTCTGCTTTTTATAAAAGACAGAACAACGACAGCTAACATGAAATTTCAGCCTGAATAACCATGTTACCGTGTTGCTTTTCTTTTTCCCTTCCATCTGCACCTGCAGGTGCTCACTTCTCCACTCCGGGAGTCAGCAAGCACTCTGGACATCCCCTTAGCCTTCCACCCCCCAGCCTCAGGACAGAAACTACAGAAGTAGAGGTGTCTTCTTCTTGGGAAGAAGCATGGAGAGTGCTAATAATGTCCTGACAGATATATGGTGTCTCTTAGAATACTCAAATAAGTAATTTGTGAAACAGGGGAAAATGTAAGGTAATGTGTTTGCTACCTTCTGCTTGCTTGAAGCAGCATTCCGTGGAAAATGTCTGACCTTGGTTAAAAGAGTCCTGTCTGGATCCACTGGACATCAACAGAGGTGCAAAAATACTGTTAAAAGCTTAATGGCTTACCCATTTCATAAATCTTGCCGTTTGAAGTTTCTAAGTACAATGCATTCTCTAAAAAATTTCCTGCCTTAGAAAACAAATGAGATTAGCATTTTATAAGAGAAGAAATCTCTGTACTCATTGGAAAGGTGGGATGCAAAGATTGACAAGGCAACAGAGTGAACTAACTGCATGCTGGGTTGTATCTGATCTCTCAAACATGGTTTTTGTTGGTCAGCCGTCTAAACACCCACAAGTACAGCTACACCACAGCTGCCTTTTGCCAAGTCTCGGGGATAAAACATGCAGCTTTTCCTACTGCATTCCTCATCCAGGAGATGGGGAACTTCTCTAATGCACTTAAATTTTAAGTTGAGCTTTAAAACAAACCTGGTGCAAAAATACATGTAAAAAGATAAAATGTCAGTTATTAGACAACTTCAAATGCTGTGAAAATAATTTTAGTGTAAATATTTTGATTTAGGGCCCTAAATTAACCATCTGTTATTTCTGATGGAAAAAACCTGTCAACAATAAAAGCATGGAACCGTGGAATGTGGAAATCTAGAGTAAGTGGGAGTTCTCCATAAAAAGGTTTTTTGATAAATATGCCAAGTCGTATACTCATGTCTAAGCTAAGCATTAGAAGCACTTCAATGTTGCTGCTCAGACAATGCCATACTTCTGGCACAATATTGCAAAGCTTACTGTCATTAAAGCATTAACGAGTTTCATATTTTAAATAAAGGTGAGGAAAGGAAGTGTCATTATATCCTTGATTATTCTTATTACCCTAACTCCTCAAAGCTTAGTCTATCTATAAGCAAAGTCAGAAAATATAATGAAGATGCACAGTGTCTTCCTCTTCCTTTGATAACATCTATTCCTCATTGCTTGGGCATGTTGCCCTGGATACTGTGTTGCAATCTCCAGATACTAGACATGGTCATCTTGTGGTAAAATACTTAGACTCTAAAAACATATTCTGACATTTTAGCAATTTTCTGGCTGCTCCACTTGTCTAGCAGCTAGAGTCAAGAGACTGATCTTCCTGATTAAGAGAATGACACAGTTCCATGACAGATGGAAAATTCCATCTATTTAAGCTTAACTCTTAGGTTCACACTATGTTTGGTACAAAGGATGTGCTTTGCAAAACAGCAAACATATTAGGTGCCCAAACTAAGGGGAAAAAATATTAATAGCATAATTACTTATTCAAAAAGAAAATGTTAGATCTGTTTTGAAAGTTCACTTTATTCTCCAGTAACAAATGGCTATTTAATTGTAAATATGTATCTTTAAATTATTCCAAAACCATTCTTTAAGTTCAACTAAAATATATTCTCTAAAGAATTTTCTATTAGATCCCAAATAGCTGATATCAAAAAGTTGGTATTTGTTTATATGCTTGTATTTGATGTTTTAGGATACTACCATTTCTACACAGGCCTGAAGAAACCGTCCTGTGCTGGTGGTTTGTACAACATCTTATTTCAATATTTTTCATTGTTGTTAATGTTTGACAGGGAGATACCAGACACTGCTGCAGCTTCACCCTGGACAGCTTCATTAGACTGGCTGGTGCTCTGTGAGGAAGCATTACCATTCAGTGGGTCTGTGCTCTGTGTCTCCTGCTGGGCATCGCTGAGATCTTTCTGGTTCGGATCAGAGATAGTGCATTTTTCTGAGCTGGATTCATCACTCAGAGGAGTGTCGAAAGAGACTACTTGTAGGACGATGGATCTGGGAGGACAGGTTGTACCATCACTTCCCTGACTACTCTCATTTTGTGTCCTTGTTGTCTCTTCCTGCAACTGTGCATCTGTGGAATTTCTGCTTTGGTCTTTTTCCTGTTCACCAACATTTTTCCCAAGTTCTTCTACAAAGAGGGAACAAAATAGGTGAATTAGATAAGAAGAATATGCCACAATTTTTTGATTTCATAGTAGTGACAGATAGAGCTGTACACAGGAACACTGTGAACATCAGTTTCTGCATGAGGCCATGCCCACTGTGCTTACTATGGGTTGGATTCTACTCCTGATTGCACGACTGCAGCTGAACCTCTTACAGAGGACTGTAGCAATCCTATTTCTGGTTTGATGTCTATCATGTACCTCTTTTTTTGGCCATAATACAGAGCAAGGAGCATCACCAAACAATAACTTGAAGAATGTGAGCAGGAGGACCCCTTGCTGCAGGCATGCCTTTCTGCAGTGGTGTTTAGTAACACAGGACTAGGAAGAGCAGAGTCATCATTTCTGCAAGAGGCAGAGGGCATGGAGGGGAATGCCTTGCTGGGGATGGGGCAGGCACCAGAATTGAGGGGGAACCCTGAAGGAAATCAGCCTATCAACCTGGAGAAGTCCAAACCATCAAGTTTGGAGCAAGCTGGAACAAGCTATAGGGAGTTATGCGCGTGCTGTCCAGTACTGCTGCCATTTTGGCTAATGGCACATGTAGAGAGGGAAGAACAGATATGGGGGAAACTCTGCTTCAGGGGACAGCAGCAACAGGAAAAAATAATGTTTGTGTAAGGCTCTACTCCTTACTTTATTACAGACTTGGAGAACAGTACAAATGAAATGGCCCAGAGTAAAAGGAGAAGGAACAGAACAGCACAGAGAGGTGGCTCCAGGAATTACTAGATGAAAAAGAAACAGAGAATGGAAAACTTGTGATGGCTGATGGCAGGTGAAGAGTCCAACAAAAAATAAATATACTGTCTTCATGGAGGGCCTATTTGTCTTGGTATTACAATCTGTATTTTATAAATTTAGATTTTAGCATCTGTACATTGGTATAGAAGATACCAAATACTGTCAATTTGAAAAGTTCAAACATTGCAGTTTGAACAACATGGGCATAAAACAGCTGCATGATATTGCATAAAATTTCTAATTTGGATTTAGAAATTATTAACCAAGCACTGAGATCCTTATTGAGCTCAACTGTCAGCTCCCAGGAACTCTGATTACGAGTGACAAGTGCAAATCCAGGCTGCAAATGATTGCACACGACAACTGAAAGATAACCCAGACTGTAAGCACATTTTTATTGCTGTCAGCATTTGGCACCACCTCACTTTTCTAAATCCAAAGAAAATTTCTGCCTGAAGTACAATTTGGTTTATGAAATGGGATGGAAGGGAACACCTTCAAACCTGAATTGATGTGCAGAGACATGGAATGGTTAATTTCCTTCTTTTGTAATTTATAGTTTCTGGTACATTTTTTTTAAAAATCAAGAACTCTAATGTTTGAGCAATTTCTAAATAGTTAAACCATTTCCCCCAAACTTTAGAGACCTGCTTAGTTTGGACTCCAAATCTTCTAAAATTTGTACAGGTAGTCTTTTTCTACAGACTTCAATGTAGCTCTTACAAAGAAGAGTTTGGGCTAAAGCCACTGAGAAATATGTATGTGGAGCTTGATGCAAGTTATGTTCAATCTAGAGACATTATTTAAAGCATCTGTCACTCATGATATAACCTACCTACATAAAGCTTTTTTTCTTAAGAAAGTTATTTATGTGCCATATTCACCTCCAAATGGCACAACTACAGCATTTTTCCTTAGCTTCATAAAAAACCCCAAGGAAATTCAAAGATAAAATATTTTACATGCTGTTCAGATGCATCAGTAAGTTAAAAAAGGCAAAACTGAATTACGAGCACACACAAAACTGGAATATTAATATAGTCCACTATATTCACAGTTGGTGAGATTTCTTAACCATAAAGGTAGTAAGAAGAGACTATTTTTCTCATGGAATGCTGTTTTAGGGCTATCCTAGCCAGAATCAGGCATGTCTTGGTGTAATTGGATGGTTGACCATTTTATTCTCATATTAGAAACCTCAGAATATTCATACATGCAAGATCCACTATTATTTTTTGTTCATAAAGCTGAATATCCAAACTTAAAATTGTTATTATTCACTCCCTAGCAAACTCAACCTGGCAAATGAAGATTATGAGTTTAATCATAACAACTCTGATGGCTTGTTCTTGACTTATGTCATGATGGTCTCCAACTTCTATGACTGCCCTTGAGATGATCTCAAATTTGTTTGTTTCAGGATAGCTAAACCAGAGCTAAACTCTAACTCAGGACTAACTGATGGATGGATGATTTCATACTTTGAAATGAAGTATCTCTGCACCAAGATACACTTGTTAATATACCAGATAAAAATTATGCCTTTTACATTTAAACTGGTGTGAGACTGCAGGACCATCACCAATAGTGGCTGGTGGGAGTGACTGAGACTGAGAAGCCACAAGTACAAAATGCTCTATGATGATGTCACAGGTGTCATTAAGACCCCCCTCTGTTTTCTTAGTATTCAGTCTCTCACCTGCTGTACCCCTGACTCTATATTCTGACTTGCTTTGCTCCACTCAGCTTTAATCTACTGCCAGAAAGATGAAAAATACTGGGTTCTTGTGGTATGTAGCCACTCATGGAATATGCTAAATGTGCTGGAAAAATAGAGATTTCTGCTTTCTCTAACAGCTAATAATTGTACTCTATATTACATAGGACCTTTATATTGCACATAATACTTGGAATTCTCTGTAATTTCTGCTGTCCTATATGACTCTGACGAAACAGAATTATCTAGCAGTCTAAATGAGGCTGAGACTGGGACAGTGACAAAGTAACTAGAATTCAAGCAGGGCACTGCTTAATTAATCCTACTAGTGTAAGAGAAATGGAGCTGGCATGATGTCTGACCCCCATTGCTGTGCAGGAAGAATTGTAATAAATACTGTGGCAGTCTCTGCCTCCAGCCAGCCACAAAATGCTGGGACCCTCTGAGGGCAGTGGGCCAGGCTTCTGCCCCAAACCCTGCACTGGGCTTCTGGGGAGAGCAAGCTCTCCCTTCCTATGAGCTCACCTACCATGGCCAGCCAGAGATGGAAATGGAGTATGTTAAATGAACCAGGTAATCTGGCATTTGCAACAGTCTCAATATTCAATAACAATAAGTAGATTTATTAGATATAAAAGATTAAACAACAGTCCATCTTGGTCCTCAGAATTTTTTTGGGGTTTTGGGGTGTGTCAGTTCTTTGACTGACACAAAACACAAAAAAGCCATGTGTTTTGAAAACACAAAAGCCATGTGCAGGACATCTCAAACCAGCTAATGGCAGTGACTGCAAAACCCAGTAAAACAAATATCTGCTCAAGCACACTGCTATATTTTCTTAAAGTTCTTTTTTTTTATTGTTTGCTGGAGTGAATGGGAGCACTGAATCCTTATCAGTCCAATGAAAGACTACAGTGTCCATGGAACACTAGAACTGTCACAAGATTTGATCTCAGCTGTAGATCTCTAGCCCCCAGCTGTAGGATTCTGTGGTGTCCTCAAAGTACCACAGAGGCCCTGAAGTGTATTATCAGTGTATTATCAACTACAACCCTGCTTTCCACCAGCCCCGTTTGTTACTGCCTATGTGTGCAGCAACACTTCCAGGACATGGTCCAAGTGGTAAGGAAGCTTTACTACATTTTGGAGCTTTCTGTTCTGTCAATGTCCATCAGTTTTCTTTTCCTCACCTTTCTGTAGTATACAAAAGAGCATTCAACTGCTATGACCTGCACAGTCCTCTTTACAACAACTGCATCACTTGAGCATGTCGTGATTTCATAGGAATGGAGAGGAAAAACACAAAAGCCATGTGCAGGACACCTCAAATCAGCTAATGGCAGTGACTGTAAAACCCAGTAAAACAAGTATCTGCTCAATTACACTGCTATATTTTCATTAGCTGAATATAAGCTACAATTCTTTACCCTTACAGAGGGTAAAGAATGCCATCAAGACATACTCATGTCATCAAGACATGATGACATGAAAGTTTTAACAATTAGAAAGCCACTGAATTAGAGAGGAAAGCTGTTAATCTTCACTAAGAATTGAATAATTTGAGGACTCTGTAACGAAGAATGCTGCTGGATGTCATGGAATCTCTGTGCATACTGCAAAAAAACTTTGATTTCTAGGTTTGTCTGCCTTTTTTTATTGTAAAACAAAATTCTAGAAAGTAGTGACAAAGACCGAAACCAGGGCAAAGTTTCCATGGACAAGGTTTCCCAAGGACACCATGGGAAGGAAATGTAACTTTCTAGAAGACATGTTCTCACATCAGCCATTTTAAAGAGAAAATGAAAAGACCAAGACAGAGCATCAAAATTTTGCAGAGAAGGTGAGGACTGATCCTGGTGTCTCTGGAACTACTAAGTAAGTTTAAAGACATGCCCAAAAGTTCCCAAACAACCACAGATTCTCCCCAGCCAACCTGCCATTTTCAAACCCAAGAAAATATTGCAGTTATTTAGATACTGATTCCTTCTGCTTTCAACTCTTCATGCAAATTTCATCACAGTTATAGGAATATATAAAACCACTTCAAACCAAGTGAAACCATACATAGAAAAAGTAGCAAAGACTAAATTAGCTAATTAAATCAAAACTTTTCACTAAAGGATTTGGTTAAAAATAATTTGTGAGTTTATGTTTTCCTAAGGTTGCTACCTCCACCTTTTACTTCTCTTTTGCTGTTTAGCTGTAAGCACAGGGGCTTGAATGCTGGAACTTTTGTGATAGGGAATGGAAGGGACTGCTGCTGTGAGCCTGCTAGAGGGAAAAGGTGCTTTAAGTGATGTAGACTACCATGTGCAGGGATGGGCCAGCTCTCTGATGTGTACTCCAGGGTTCCATTAACAGGTTCTATTATTAGGTCAGCCATTCCTTATCCTGTGATTTACTGGGTATTGCCAATACCAAACATTTCTTCTTTCTACTCTTAGCTCAGCCCACTCCTTGCACTTTCTCAGACCATGCTGAAAAATTCTCCTTTTCCCACTT